CTCTAGGTCATCTTTGTGGATTCGTGCCTCAACGTTATGATTACGATCGACGGATTCCTGAACTTGCTGGATGGCATCTTGAAGCTCCATCATATCGTCCTTGTGTACTCGAGCTTCTGTTGCAGGGGGTGGACCAGCCATTCCGTCCAGCGCTTCGACTTTGATCCTCAACTGGGTGATCATAACCTTCAAACCTTCGATTTCAGTGGAGATGCGATTCTGGTCGTGTATCACTATCTCCTGCCCTCGGGCGGTAGCGGTGTCTGAGTCCTCTGTCTGCTTCTCATGGAGTCTTGATATATCTGCTCGCACATCCTCTATTCCTGTCTTGAGCGCGTCAAGAATTTCGTAGCTTGCGCTGAGGTCAACAGGGCGATCGGTTAATTTTTGGATATCGGCTCGGATACCATCAACGCCGTCTTGAAATGCATCAAGAAGCTCACTGGTATTGGACAAAATACTTTCATTTCCGTTGATCTTTGGACGAGACGACGCCAGTCCCTCTCGGATGGCATCAAGAACTTCCTCACGATCCATTGAAGAGCTGGTCTTGACAAGAGTTCCAGCGAGGGTTGTGCGCATATGTTCCAATTCGTCCTTGACTAGACGCACAATGTCTTCACTATTACCGCTGAGGGTCGATTGGCGGTCGTCGGCAATGTCACGAATAGCATCGAGGATCTCGTCCTTCTCAGAGAGAGCGTTATTCCTGGCCATGTTTTTGCTGATGGTCTCACGAAGATGTTCGAACTCTTTCTCCATGGCGTCCAAGAGTTCAGGTGTGTTCGGGGCTCCGTTTCCGCGTGCCGCAAAGCCTTTGTCGAGATCTGCTTGCATTGCAGCAAATCCAGCCTTCACTGTGTCGATGATCTCGTCTTTGCCAGTAACATCGGCAGCACGATCAACATAGCTTTCTATATCGGCTCTTAGGTCCTCCAATCCGTCCTTGAGCGCATCGAGTACTTGTTCCGTGTCTTTACCATTTGCCGCTGAATATTGTTGGAACTCGTTTTTCATGCTGCCGAGGAACTCATGCATCGCTTCGATGACTCGTTCGCCCATTCCTCCCAAAGGATTTTGTTCGCCTTCCAGACAAGATTTGATGGCGTCAAACAGGTCCTCGCGATTGAATTCGACCTCTTTGGCAACACGGTCATGTTGAGAAAGGCCTTCTTTGACCGCGTCACTTATCTCATCTCTGGTGACGGTGTCATGTTGCGCTAGTCCTTCTCGCACAGCTTCGAAGACATCGTCTTTGGTGAGGTCAATGTCTATACCCCGGGATGCAGACATGTCTGGCCATTCGATACCTTTGATTCCCTCACTGACAGCAGCAAAGACATCTTCCCGAGTGATCCCAGCTGGCGCGGGAATGGGAGGAAGTTCAAAGTCTGCTAGACCCTTTCTGACGGCCTCGAGCACGTCTTCGTAAGTGGCGCCGGCATCTTTTGCACTGGGTTGCTGCGGTTGATACGACTTTAACCCCTCCTTCAACGTCTCCAAGATCTCATCGCGTTCTAGTCCGAAATGTTCGAGTGCGATTTCGGGTTTGCAGTCCTCCCAAGCCTCTCTAACGGCAATGAGTAATTCTTCCCGTTCAGCAACGGGGTCTCGGAGTGGTTGATCACGAGGCTGAGGTAAGTCTGCGAGGACATCACGGACGGCCCGCACGACTTCTTGCGTGTCGACTGCCGGATTAACGTGCTCTGCCGATCGTCTCCCGCTTTCCTGGACAATGTGATGCATGTGTTCTTTGAGCTCAGCAAGGCCTTGCTGCACAATGGTAGCGATCTCATCTGTCACTGCTGCTTGTGTTGCCGCACCAGCACCCTTTGTTGGCAATGACGTTTGCTCCAGTTTCTTTACAAGTTCTCGTCCCATTCCCAAGACCTCTCCTCGTAGCTCTCGAACCAAGACTTTGACTTCATTCGTGAGCCCGCCCCCTTGGGCCAATGACTGCTTGACACTCTTCAGCATTGTGACAATGTCGTCAACGACTGAGTCGGACGCTGACATCGACGCTCGACCTTCAACACCTGACCTTGCTTTACCCATTTTCGCTTCCCCTTCGAGATAGAGATCAAGGTTTGAGGGACCCTTGCTACCGTCATTGCCGTTCGAGCGTACCAGCGCGCGTGAACCAGATTCCTCCTTCATGTCCTTCATGAACACAAGGATATCTTCCAATTTCGACATCATGGCTGGGTCAAAGGCCGTCGAAGTAGGGGTATCTGAATGCGATCGCACGAGAGCTTGTGACTTTACTGCTTCGAGGGTGCTCATTATTTTGTCTTGCCCTTCGCGGGTGGCCATTTCCCTGAGAACTTTCTCGAGGAGAGCGATGCTTGCAGCACCGTCAACACATGTAATAGACGGTGAGGCGGTCAACTCGCGATCAAGAGAAGCAGAGAAGCTAGATGGGCTTCCAATACGTGGTAGGCCGAGGCTTTTTGGGCGGGGCGAGCCATTATGTGCCTTGTCGTCGAAGTACATCCCCAAGTTGGAAGCTGATCTGGTGGCATCAGGAGGAGCAGCAAGTAGCCGAGAGTCGAGATTAGTGAACTTGCTTTCAAGGCCTGCGATAAGCTCTCTCAGGCTTTTGCGGATGTCTTCATCCCTGGCCGTTGTAGCCTCCTTGAGGCTCATCAGGTCGCCATAGTTGTCTTTACTTCTCTTATTCAGGCTCGTCATCTCTTTTTGAACACTTGTGATGATTGATGTCAAGCTCAGAATCTGAGTAGACAGTGCGTCAAAGGAGTAGGATGTTGGCATCGAAGGTGAAGCCCCGTTTGTTATGTCACCAAGAGGCGTGGCATCCTGCCTAGTTCTAATTGTCTGTAGCGCTAGCATGTTCGATGAAGGTGGTGTGTTCTCGCTCTCTTTTGACCTTGCGGAGTTCTTCTCGGTGGGTGTTGGGGTTTCTGATCTTGGTCTCGTGGGACTGCGCTCCGACGTTCTGCTGCTGGGAAAATCCTCGAAATCCACGAACTTTGCTGTGCGAAGGCCTTTTTCTGGTGATCGCCTTTCCAATGAATCGCTCAGTCTAGTTATTCCAGGGCTCTGCAGGTTCTGCATTCGCCTGTTTTGGGCTCGTATGACATTCCTGTCTGGTGACGTCGGAGGAGGGTTGCTTGTGTAGGAGCTGGGGGCATTTTCTCGTGCTCGAGCGGCGATCAGGGCAGCAGCTTCGTCAATGCGTTTTGATGTATTAGATCTAGTCAGAGGGCTTCCTGGAACTCCAGGGTTCAATGGAAGTGGTGGAGGTGCTCTATCGGGATCTGAGCTATCCCACCTGCCCACAAGTCAGTATCTTCTGATGGTATTTCGAAAGCTACCAAGGACTCACATAGGCACCGAGCTTCTGCCTGACTCTGAGAATGAATGTTGATGCTTGATGATTCGAGACTCAGCACGGTCCCGAGAGGCATCCCGCGAACTGGCGGAATAAGTGGACATGGTCAATGCCTTTGTCCGGAGAATTTTTGGGAAGAATGTTTGTCAATCAAGCTGAAGCTGCAGTACTCATAACGCACTTCACATACTCTGGCGTGTGCCAGCATAAATTCAGCAAGCAAACAAGACGCAAAAGCACATAAAACTCAAGGATGCTAGTATAACGGTGAAAGGAGGAGACTTTGGCGCTGGCGTGCTGGCACAAGTTGACGTCGGGTCGCAGTGCACTTATGATTGGCCAGACAAATCGGGATGTAAACAAAGCTAACGGACGGATCGGCTGACCTGCCTCTGCAGGAGAGGGGGCGGAGAGAAACGTGTAACGGCTTCACCAAAACGCGGGTCCCCGAATGCTAGAAAGAGACCTCATAGTTATGACAAGGAAAATTATTTTGGTGACAGCCATATAGTCTGGTAATTTGTATGCTGTGCGCCCATCTGAGGGTAGCACCCTCGACAAGATCAAGGCCAGCGTCTTGCACTATTTACTACGTTGCTTGGGGTCATAGCAACAGGTGCTAGCGAGTATTCTCCCTGTCAGACGTGTCAGACGGGCATTTATTGCGCGGCTTGGCTCGAACAAAGATGTGACACGTGACTTCGAAAACCCTACTCTGCCAAGACTAATTTTTGAGCAATTCAGCATCGAACGAGCGACTTAAGCATTTTTCGCAGCCTCAACCTCTCCCTATTATTCTTCAACATCTTTCAAGCGCGAAAGTCGGACCTCAAGATGAAGTGTAAGTAAAGTCGTATACACTCAATTCTGCGACAATTAATAACACACGGAACAGTTCTCAAGGTCGGCCGCGTGGCGATCATCACTCGAGGCCGGTATGCCGGAAAGAAGGTATGGGGAGAAACAACACATTTACGCATGAAAGGGATCGAAGGTCTGACGCTTCGTCTACAGGTTGTCATCATCCAGCCCCAGGACTCTGGCACGAAACAGCATCCCTTCTCCTACGCCCTGGTCGCAGGCATTGAGCGTTACCCATCGAAAGTCACTCGCCGCATGGGCAAAAAGCGAATGGAGAAACGATCAAAAGTCAAGCCATTCATCAAGATGATCAACTACAACCACATCATGCCTACGCGATACACGCTAGAACTCGAAGGACTGAAGAGTGTCATTTCGAACGACACATTCAAGGAGGTCTCCCAAAGAGAGGATGCCAAGAAGAACGTCAAGAAAGCCTTGGAGGAGAGATACCTGAGCGGCAAGAACAGATGGTTCTTCACGCCCTTGAGATTTTGAGTGTGGGGTTACGCAATATGCCTTGAAGAAACCATTTTGCCACGGTGCGCAGCGACAGGGAACTTTAGACATGCGGCTTGCGCAAGGCAGGGATCATTGCAACTTGAATGAACCGGACCCTATTCTAAGCGATTTTGAGGCCAGCCAAAGCACCGTGTGCTTGTTGATGAGGACTTCTTACCTGCACTGGTGAAGGTGCAATGGATGACGCGAGTACGGCTCATATGAAAAGAATTCAATTTTCATTGCAAAGATTTGCCAGTGTCGGTGTGGTCTAAGATTTCAGAGCTCATTCGAGATACAAATCATCCTTCAAGCGCTGCAGATTCCGAAACAGTCCGGCTGCACCACCACTTCCCTCATTTGAGCTTCTCGGATTCCTACCCATGGCGGAACTTGATCGTACAGAACTAGCCGCCTTGGAATTTCGAGCCCGTTGTCGTGCATCCAGTGTCTTCCGCCTGTCTTCCACCAGTTTAACCAATGAATCAACAAATTTGATTCTGGCCTTTTCCTCACCAGTGCCCTTCCACAGTATTGCAAGCTGTCTGTACTCTTCGACCCTTTGGGATGCCGCCTCGAGGCCAGCATACCCAGCTGGTTCTGGCCCAAGTAGTTCGTCAATTTCTGCCCGAATACTCTTCAATGCCTCACGTGCCTTGTCATCTTCGGCCGTGCTTTGAATCCCCAACTCAGGTGAAGAGACGGATATGAGAGATGATGCCATGGACAATTCAGAGGGAGGTATTGGCCATTTCATTGCTTCGCCGAAAATAGTAACCACAGACTCGAGACGTGCTTTCACTTTGCCCAGCAATCGTAGTCGAGTCATGAAGTCAGGCTCGCTCTCTGATTGCGCTTTTTGCAACGAGTCGTCACCATCAATCTCCGAACCTGATATTGGTGGTTCTATACTGGTAACCTCATCAATGACAAATTGGCGAATATCATCCCGTAGTGAATCGCTCAACAGCTCGTGGAACCCATTCACATCACCACGAAGCACCTCTACCTCGTAGGCAAGACGATTTCCACTGCGGATAATCTCGTCCGTTAAACTTGTCAACTCTGAGGAAGCACGGATGGAGATTGTGTTGAGTGACGTGAGGAGTGCAAGTGACTCGGTCGAGGCACTCTGGATTTGTGTAGACCTGCTGGATTTTGAAAGCTGGGTTTGAGACGACAAACTTAGGTTGGGTAGTGAATCGTTCAGGAATTCGACAGGGTCAAATTGAGACTGATTGAGTTTCGCAAGCATCAGCCCACTGCCGCCCTCATTCTGTTCACTGTGCTCTTCCGCGTCTATGCGGGAAGGCATCTTGATCTTGAAGACTGTCTTGGGCTAGCATCACATAAATTCGAACTTTCATGTGCGGAGTCAAGTTTGCGTCCAATTCCCGTTTACCGTAGACTTGTTAGGCTGATGGTCTCGTATTCTCCAACATCCATCTGTGACCAGGAGAAGCTGTGGATAAGACAGGTATTGTCTAGGTACCAAAGACTATGTCTGTCGTTCGTGTTGGTGCTGTCGGCTCGGAACAACTATACACCGACAGCAATCATCGGCTTGGCACGACTTGTTTGTTTCTCACTCGATACCAAGTATCTGATCATCCTCTTTCTTCATAGTTTTCTGAAAATTCGTAGATCGGAGAACCGTTGTCTTGAAGAACCGCAAATACCACTTTGTGAGGTAAGACAGCTATCAAAGCGACAGAAGCTGGTTCTTGGGCTAGACTGCCAGCAGGCAGTAAAACAGCAAACATGGCACTCCTGTTTGCTGCCAACTTGCCTTTGGCAAGGTTCTCCAAGACCTGGAGTGTGAGTAGCTGTGGAAAGAGAAGACCGGCACAATGCTCCATCTCTGCGCCCGTTTTCTGTTTCTCTTTAACAGGGTTCTCTATGCTTGCGCTTCACCCAAGAAGGTGCGGCCTGGTTCTATTACGCTCTGCCATATCGACTTTGAATCACGGGGTGCGGGTACAATCACCATGTCTGCGCAGTTGCCTTGTTGTTTTCATCCCTGCCACAGTCTTCAACTCCCTTCCACTTTCTCGATCCTCTTCGTCCTTCAGTCTTCTGTCCGCCTTCTCTTCTCTCAGCTTCCCCCCAGTGCCTCCTTCCCACCCCCCGGTGGTATCTCTCATTGAGCTGCTCTCGATCCTGTCGTGGTGGGATCTACCGACTGCGTAAATCTCAAGTTTAGCTCCTCCTGATGCCCTCCAACTCGTTTCCTTGAATCTCAGTTCTATGCCAACACAACCACCTCCCGCTGGCCCTCCCCTCCGTCCAGTATGGGCCGGAAACTCTTCCTCAACCACTTGGCCGCCGCCAACCGCATGAAGATCGAGAACATCGAGAACGTTCGTGGCCTGGAGGAGGGCGTGTTTATCTTCACCTATGTCCATCCCAGGAGCAGCCTTCGAGTGACCATCGAAGTATTTGCCAACGACCTAGGAGAATACCCGGACGGCAATTCATTTGTGCTGTACACCAAGGACACGTCTCACGACCCGATCGTTGCAGAAACATTGCGCAAAGTCACTGAACATGCCCATGGCAAGCCTGTTATCGACTTATTGGCTGAAATTGCGAAGCTATTGACCTCAGTTACGGGAAAGGGCTATGTCCAAGAAAATATCGGGGACAACGAAGTGAAGGAGGAGAATGATTTTGATTTTGATTTTGAGAGCGACTCTGACATTGACCTGGATACCTGTGAGGCTGGCGACACAGATCGCCACTCCGACATCAGAGCAGACTCCACCAGCTTGCCAGATGATCCCAATGAGAAGACGGAAAAGGTACGCGCAGATCTTGCAGCCCTCAAGCATTCCGGCTTCCGCGTTGGAGTCTTTGGGAACATTGCCTCTGGCGGGGTTCTTTGCATTTCGATCCGAGTCTCCAAGCTCGGTCTCTCAGATGAAGCCCTCGAAGCATGGAATGTGCCACGAAGGCATTACTTCTTGTTGCTGATCAGGTACTTACGGAGCTATCTGGACGCAACCAGAGTTGTCAATGAACGAGGTCTGTCGGACTCTGTGGAGATGCGCGTGGGACTTTGCAGCCACTACAAACCTTCCCTACGCGAAGTCCTCGCTCTCTACCAGTACACAAAGTCGGACAATACGACCTCAGCGAACGGCCTCGAAGCTGGATCAAACGATCAACATGCATTCGAAGCATTGTGTATTGGGAATTCGATCAACCAATTACTCGAAGAAAGAGTCTTCAAGATCATCTCGGCTCGGGAATTGTACCAGCTTAGCTGGCTCGGTGCAGAGAAATTCATCAACGAGAGACAGACGTCTTCGTTGTCAAACATTGACGACATGTCACCCTATCATTGTGATGATGACGCCCATGCGAGGGGCCTACCCCCAATAGTCGTCGCAGACCACATGCGCCAGAATCGACTCGCAAAGGCTTCTTTGCCATTAATCCTTATGCAGTTTTCCCTCAGGCATTTCGTTCGATGCACGGAATTCTGCCTCGTGTGCCACTGCCGAGTCGATGAAGGGTTTGGAGCCCTTAAACCATACGTCTGCCTGAAGCCCCTCTGCCTGTACCAGTACATGTCGCTCGGTTTCGGTCCTCGTCTAGAGTGGGAAATCATGGTCCAGCCATACGTGGTCGATGTTCTGATCAGCCTATGCCACGCAGCAGCTAGTAGCGGCAGACTCAAAGAGTTTCCTATAGGTATGAACTTGGTCGTACCTGTCATACCACGTCCCAGAGTTCCGCGTTTCGTTGCACCGTACCATACCGGAACTCTGTCAACGCAAGCAGTTGTACCACTAATCCACGAGAAGTCCTTTGCATGCACGTGGTATAAGAAATTGAGGCACTTGGTGATCGAACAGGATGAAGAGAAGAACATATCGATTCAGAAACTCAAGCCTGGTGATTGGCTTGTTCTCCTCTGTATCCAGACTGAGACTGCAGCCCATTGTCTCGTCAAGAAGGTGGAATTGCCTCGAGTTTGGCTCGATTCACCTATTTCTGTTCCATTCCCGGGGCTTATCGGCAACTCTAGCAGTCTCATTGAAACCTCTGGTGAAGACGACTGCTCCGTCAAAGCGGACTGTTATTTGTATGACAAGAACTTTGACCATCTCATTCCAAAACACCAGGAAGATGCAATCGTGAGCTTGCTGGATACTCTACCACCCGTAATCAGGATGCGACGCTATCTGGAGAGTCAAGGAAAGAGCCAGGATCCTAGCTTAATGAAATGGATAGACCGAATTCCAGCACCGGCATTGAATCTTCTCCGTTGGATTGTTGCGTCCAATAGGTCTTGTATCTTACAGGTCGACGACATTGGCACCAAAGACGACGCGGCAATTTGCGGGAAGCCTGAAGACCGTGTGGGAGGGATGGAGAGCTGGATCCAATTCCGCTTCGCTCAAGGGGCTCCAGACAAAGAAAAGCGCTTCAATAACAACGTACTGCAACGTGCGTCAGCCACCGGAACGAATTATCCCACCATTTTCGCGTGGCACGGAAGTGCAATTGGCAACTGGCATTCAATAATTCGACAAGGTCTCCGGTTTGATGAAGTCTTGCACGGCAGGTCATATGGAAATGGTATCTATGTGAGCCCCTACGCAAGAACAAGCTTGCAGTACACTGGGGATCTCGGTCCTGCCATTAGCGGTTGGCATGGTTCTGTGCTCAAAATTACAAGAGTGCTTTCCCTACAGGAAGTTGTGAATGACCGAGCCAGCTTCAGATGCGCTTCACCACACTATGTGGTCCCGAAGGTTGACTGGGTGCAGACGCGATATTTGTTCGTCAAGACCGAAAAAAGTGACGTTCGAAACGGCGTGGCCGGTCAGATTTATAAGCAGCAACCTGGCCTAGAGGCTTACAACGAAGAGAGACAGCCAATAACAATCCCATTGACTGCCATATCCAGGACTCGAAGATCTGGCAGCGGCATCGGAAAGGTAGATGGTCTTCGCGGGAAGCGTACGAAGACGATATCGAATACAGATCTGGCGACGGCCGAGCGAGACCTGGACGATGCAGAGAGTGTCTTATCGGATGCGCAAGATCTGGCTGTGTTTCAAGGGGCCGATCAGCAGGATGACGGCCTTGAGCCTTTGGGGTCCAGCACCGAGAGCCCACGCGCCAATGGTAAGAAGCGGCCGGCGGAGGTGGCAGCTGAGACCGACTTCATAGCCGGACAATTGGATGTCACGAACATTAGGTTTATGGCGGAACCTCAGGACGCTACGCCAGTGGCCACCAAGGCGCTCATGCATCTCCTCAAGGATGCGCTGAAGATTCAGGAGAGCACTCCGCCAGCCACACTCGGGTGGTACATCGACCGCAGCTTGATCAATAACATGTACCAGTGGATTGTGGAACTGCACAGCTTTCCGAGGGATCTACCTCTGGCTCAGGACATGAAAAATACTGGAGTGACATCAATTGTCATGGAGATGCGGTTCACCCATCACTATCCTTGGAGCCCTCCATTCATTCGAGTAGTCAAGCCTCGCTTTCTGCCCTTCAGTCAAGGTGGTGGTGGGAACGTGACCGAAGGAGGTGCCATGTGCATGGAGGTCTTGACCAATAATGGATGGAGTGCTAGTTTTACGGTCGAAAGCATTCTCTTGCAAGTCCGGCTGGCATTATCTGACACACAGCGACCGGCAAGACTCGTTGGTCACCCTGGCTCTACTTACGGGGTGGGAGAAGCAAAGAGAGCATACGTTCGTGCGTGTATGAACCATGGCTGGAAAGTCCCTGACGGGTTTGCCACAATCCAAGAGTGAGGGTCTGGGCACATGAGCAAGGAAAGGGGGACGGTGTGATGCCCAGCATTCGGAGGGCATGAATGCGATTGACAGTGGAGCAAAAGATAAGACAAGGAGAATGGAGTTGGACGTTTCCACAAACACAGCAAAGTGTAAGGGTTTCGGGCATGTCTCCCATGGCCCAAGCTCTTGTGTGGATGTACGAGTATGCGAATTGGATTTCATATCAACACCGTTCCTCCTGCTTGTGGACGGTGTGCAGGGATCCAGGACATGTCGGCATTTCCATTGGAGGGAAGCTGGCTTGTTGTAAATTAGATTCCATAGCCCAAAAAAGTTGTTGAGTAATTACCAGATGGGTGTCACTGTTTATGGTCTGCCTCTATCCATGAGTACTAGGTATATAGGGAGTGACACGTGGATGACAAGACACTACTCGTAGATGATCCAACATGCAGGAAATCAAGAGAAGATAGCAATCGGATGAATCATGGTGGTGGTAAAGTCTGGTTGAAGGCACCGGCCTGACATGTGCCATTCACTGTCACTTTCATCTTCCACCGTGCTTTCGCCCGTAGCTCACCAAACTATGTACGACGCACATGCCAGCGAAAGCACCTTGTCGATCCGACCAGGCTATTTATTTTCTGCATTATTCAACGCCCGAGGAGGGGGAAAGGGGGGAGGAAGACACATGTCTTTGTTTTGCTCTGTCTGTCTATCTTTCTATCTGCCTATCTCTCCGCTCGTCTGTCTATCTGATCTGTCGACTGTGTCTGACCGAGATGACCCCTATGTCTATCTCTCCGCCTGTTTCGGGTCGATGGACCCAAGTCTGGGGTTTGATATGGGGGACTGGGACTACGTGAAGGGCGAAATCCATTTTTGTTTTCCATTCTTTTTTTTTTTTTTTTTTTTTGGCAGAGGTGACCGCGGGTTGACATACTCGTACCGAGTACTCGTAGTAGTGCGATGGATGTAGATGCGATACCACCAGATACGAGACTTGCAGGGGATATTAATTACTTCGTGCGGGAACCCAACTCGTATGGGTACATTGTGGTCAGGTAGGCAATAGGTCAGTCAGGTCGTGAAGTGGAGGAGGGAGAGAGAGAGAGAGAGGGAGGGAGGGAGGGAGGAGGGACGGAC